GAGAGATGAAATATTTTTTTGTTCTTCTTTTTATATAAAAAAAAAAAAAAAACAAAAAATCAAAAATTCGTTAACATTTCAATACTAACAAAAAAAAATTGGACACGGCGAAACAAGAAAATATTTCATAGATGGCCGACCAAGCGAAATTTTATTTACACGATTAAATTCGACGTTTCAACGGATGACATATTCGAGATAATAAAAACAAAATTCTTTTTGGAAAATAATGTTGAAAAAGGGAAAACAAAAGGATTACGTATAGATAGGGTGTATTTCTTATCTCTTATGTAATATCAAAATAACACAAATGATATCGTTTAATTCTTCCCTTTTTGTGTCGCGTTGTACAATATAAAGATTTATTTATTTTATTTTACTTTTATTTATTTATTTATATATTTATATATTTATTTAGATTTTTTTTTCGTATTTTATTTGCAGAAAAGAGAGAAGAAGTAAAAAATTCATACAGAAAAACCAAATGTACCGGGGGGGGGAAACAACCAAATGTGTGTTTCATACCTGACCGACCAAGTGGAATTTTATTTACACAATTAAATTCTACACTCGTGCAGATGACATATTTGAAATGATAAAAACGAAATTCTATTTCGAAAATCATTTTGAAAAGGATATGACGTATAGGTTTCTATATATATACACACACACGGACACGGACACGGGCACACATATGTTTCAGAAAAAAATGAATAAAAGTAAATAAAGGATCAAATAAAAGAGGACGAAATTCGTATGAGTGAATTAGTAAATAATACACGGTAGTGCTTCTTCTGCCAAAGTTAACATTATGTATGAGCATATAGTTATATGTATTTTGTTTACTTCTTATTATTATATTTTATGCAGAGGATACAATCTTCTTAATTTCATGTGTTTGTTTTATTTAACATTTATTACGTTATTCTTTTACGTTTGGATATTGTCCAGATAACCCACCGCAAATAGAAAATCGATAAAATGGAAGCGTGCGTTCACCGGATTCATTAATTCCGCAACGCGACCGACCGTTTGATGGAATCCTCGCGCTGGACACCAACGACGGTGTCACTTTTTTCTGAAATTCTACCTGATTTAATGGAACCTGACAAGAACAAAACTTAAAAAAAAAAAAATAAAAAAAAAAAGAAAAATATGTATAAAAAATAAAAAGAAAAATTTGTAACTAACACCGACAACATACCCCGTTCGACGGTTCCTCGTTACTGATCCACGTACCCGTCAAACGGTCATTTGTTGTTCCGACAATATCAAGAAAATGTTCGCAATATTTTATAAACTTAATTATTTGATCGCGACTATTAATTATTATCTATCTATCGTTAATTTATTTATATATCTTATAAAAAAAAAAAAAAATAACGTATCTCGAACACAAAGGCAAATTATTGATTCTCGATTAAATTCACAAAATCGAATCACCTCTCTTATTGTTTATTTTTATTTTTATTTTTTTTTTTGTTCTTATTTATTTGCACAAACGTGAGTGAGTGAGAAACACACACGTGCATCGATCTTTCGTTAATTTTTATTTAAACAAAACGACAATATAATATCTTGTATTGTATAACACAAGTGTTTTCGATAAAAATGTTTTTCCATCTATTAAACAAATAACTCATGTATGCAATTTTAACGTACGAATTCCGGAACGGAAGTTCGCTTGGCGTGGCATGGCATGGCAGAGTGCAAGCGCAATTTTTAAACAAAATAAAATGTTGCGCTTTTACTTTGACCGACACATTCATCGGTATGTTTCACCTCTCTATTGTTTGCCTAACAGTAGGAAACTATGAAAGGACCCCTGTGTGCCGGTATGCGACTCTGTGTCGTTAGAAAAACGCACTATGAATGCTTGGAATTCGTGTCACCGTTAGTTAAGTAAAAAAAAAAAAACAAAAAAAAACCTCCCTCACCTATATTTATCTCAATGAAGAAGTACCGTACGGACTGAGTTTCACTTTACCGGATGCGTGTTGACAAAATTCTAGAAAAAAAAACAAAAAAAGAAAAAAAGAAAACATAAAAAAGAAAAAATATTTAATGTATCTTTTTTCCGTGCCACTTCTTATTCTTCCTTTATATGCTGTTTTGTTATCTATTTTTTTTGTTTATATAATATATATATATATATATATAGAATATGACGGATGCGAAAAATGCATAACAAATGCAATATGTACAAGGCGTAACATCATACTCTATACTGTTATCAACAATAAAAAACAAAATTACATTTATCTACTTTGTTTTTCTAAAAGTTATATTACCGTTAACAAATTTTATTCATTAATTTTTTTTACTTCTTTCCAATTTATTTATTATTTTTTCTTTCAACGAGAACGTTTCTTTTTATCCGAGTCCCGTTAACGTCCGCAAATGGTCTGATAGACTCATCATTCTCTGCTGGTCATCTATTCCTCCGTTGTTTCTCTCTATAGAATTAGAAGAAAAAAAAAAAAAAAAACAGAAAAATAGGATAAAATAAAAAGAAGAAGAGGGGGGGAGGGAGGGGGAAGAATAGTTCGGCATCGACTACTCGCCTATTCGCGTCGCATTGCGCAAGCACACCAACGTTTTATCTTCGTTATTCAGTCCGGTGACCAAGATAACATGATTTTCGATCTCTCTCTCTCTCTCTCTCTCTTTCTCTCCCTCTGTCCCCTTGTTGCCACCACAATCTCGCAATGTGCGCGAATTTTACAGCAACGATGCCTCGCGATAACGATGCGTTACGATTTTTGCGACAATGTGCCGGGAAAATGTTCTTCCCAGAACAAAAACATGAGAACGAAAACGATTTTTGTTGGAAACGTTTGGATATTATTCGATTGATGGTCTGCTCGAATCACAGGATCAAAATCCCCCTTTTTTCTTTTTTTTTTTTTGTATGTGTTTCTTTCTTTCCTTTTCTTCCATCCCCTTTTTTTGAATTTTAATGGATTTTGCCACATTTACGTGCCTTTTTACGCGCTAGTGATTTTTTTTCCCCTGTTTACTCGATAGTTCGAATATTTCGATAGAAATCATTGATTCAGAATCGATATATTTTCTTTTCGTGATTTCGTTCCTCGTTAATATATAATACATCATATTTGCGAACAAATATTTAATCGTCTATTTGTTTTTATACTCTTGAAAAAAAAAAAACAAATATTATTATATATTTTATATTTCGTATACAAAGTATAATAATATTATATTATAATATTAAGCAATGCTTCTCTCAAAGTAAAACCCCTCCCCCCACTTCTAACAAGATCGTCAGGATCGCGATAACTAAATTTGAAAATGGCAGAAATTTAGGCATGATCTTAATGCATCAGTAAAATTACATTCTTATATCAAAGAATTGTTTTAAAGATTATCAATAAATTTTCAAAAATTTCTATTCTATATTCAGAATCGAAAAAAGATTTTATCACAGGTAAAAAGATCGTTAATGTAAATGAAAAAAAAAAAAAGTTTAAACGATAATAACGATAGTAAATAAAAAAAAAAAAAACAAAAAGAAAAAACAAATAAAATAATATTAATAAACCAGGACGGGGTTGTTGTTGACCACGAGAGAGATGGCGCAACAAGGATTTTCTATTTTCGATAGGTAACACCGCCGACAGGATGAAATAATATCGATACTCGATGACACCAGCCACTATCCGCAACGTAGAGATCGTTGCATTTTGCAAACCGCACAATTTAAATATCTATTATATCGGACAGTGGTTGGTTTGGTCTCTAGACCTTCCTTGACTCATTCACCCCCCCCCCCACCGTTCGATTCACCCTTCGATTCAACCTCTCCCTTTACCACCCCTTTTGACTCTCACTGCACGAATAGCCATTTCCGCTTAGAGACACGTTTGTTCGCGGAAACTGAGCACACCAGACCCTCCCCCTACCCCCGCCCCCCTCTCCCCACCACTCATCTTCTTCCTCTTTTTTTTTTTAATCTTTTTTATCTGCTTTATTTTTAACTCTATCATCGAGGGGCGCGAATTCATTTCACTTATTCACCGACGCCCATTTTTCCTGTTAACCACCACGATTCTTGATATATTATCCGATCGTATTCCCTAGTCAAAAGTTTTCAATAGGATATAACCAAATTTATAACTATATCGATTACGACATTTCAATGTAAAATTATATTTATTTGAACATATTTTTCTTGACGATAATATTATCATATTTTGCGTTATTTTTCAATGAAATTATTTAATATATAAATATAATCTCTCTCTCTCTCTCTCTCTCCAATGTATTTTGAAAATGTTTTAAGTGTAGATTTACTACTATGTTCGCTATATTATGATCACCAATTCATTTATATTCAACAGAATATAAAATAATTAACAAAAATAAAATAAATATTAATTATTATAAAATATACGTATGACAAATCATGGAAATCATATTTGGAATCCTACTGTCAACTGGACGAAAAATTCAATCACGACACATAACACAGAGTTGTTCGATATTTATATAAACAAATAAACGTACACAAATACGAATACTCTTAACGTGTGAATTTCGTTCGTTGCAGGTTGTTTCAACAACGTCGATGCATCCACAGCGCGACTATCTGGATTCAATTTTCTTTGGGGGCGGGACATCGCAATGCGGTCTCGTAGAAACGAGACGATGTACACATACACACGCACACACACAAACATCCACACATTTATACACTGAGGGTAAATTCACACAGAGGAGACAAATGCACATGTACACATAGAGGAGGAACATAGGAGGACTTCGAAGCTTACGGTTGCCGGTATCACGATCATCGTACAATTCGATTGGGATCAAAGATCAAGACGGTGTCGCCTGCAGGATTGAATCGTCCTGGAAAAGGATCGAACGGAAATGTGCACGTGGATGGTCTTTTCTCGGTCGAATAAAAGACGTTTCCTTCGGCACATCAAAAAAACAGACTATAAGAAACCTACATACATACACACATACACACATAAAAATACATATAAGGAAGATTCTAACGCGTAATACATATGCATTAATAAAGAAACAAACAAAGAAAAAAAAAAAAA